AGTATCACAAATAATGGACTAGATTTGTCAAAATTATTAATGCTTAACTATTGTAAGCCATGTAATTTGCTTGTTTTCTTAATGTAATTATCAGTTTTCTGAATGTTGTCCAAAAAAATCACAATCAACTGATTAGCTTGTCTCAGATTTATAATGTTGTTAAGCTTTAGTTGTACAAGTGTCACAATCATTGGACTTAATTTGTCATTATTATTTTAATTTAAAACATTTAACTGTTTTTATCCATAGAATTTGCCAGTCTTTTATGTCTAGTCTTCACTTATCTCAAAAATTCACTTGAATTACACACCATAAACAGATAAGCTTACCTCAACCATAATCAAGTTGCTCTTTCTAGACTGAAACACAGATGTAGGTCTAACGTTTAAAAACCAACCTTATTAGATTTTTGCTCACATACACTTGAACATACACTGTAGATTCATGTGTGGACATACAAATACGTAGATGTCATATAGGCTACAGCTACATGCAGCATGTTTATATCATAATGTGGTAGGTAGTTATTGCAACAGAGACGATCATATTTTCCTAGTAGTGCCCAGCTTGTCAAACATGGCAAAAACTGTTCAGATAAAAGCAGTGGACCAATTTAGAATCGCCATTGACCTACATATTATTATTTCATTTCGGGTGTTTTCTTCTTGTTTCTTTTTGAAATGTATTTAACACAAATGCACTATATATATGCATTTTGATTTTAGTAAATTTTTATTAAGTTTTGTTCGTCAGATAAGGGTGAGGGTTGGACAGAAAAGCTTTAGCCCCTCCCCCATAAAGCAAATTGAACCTACTCACTGGGAAGAGTTGTTACACCTTACGTGATCAGGGAGTGGATGCGAGGCAATCTGGAAACTAAGTATACGAATATTTATGTTTCAACCAATTCGGTATAACGTTTCAATGTATCAGTGTTAGGGATTTAATGTTCACTTATTTTGTACTTAATTTTATAAGAAATACTGTGACGCGTGCATGCATGAAAATGGTTTGGCCATTCCCCAGTGTTTCCTCCACAACATTTTGCTTCCTCCAAAACTTCACCTTATCACGTCCTATGGAAATGAAAACTATTTCGGACTTCGTTAGAAGAAAAAGTATCGTCAGTTGAAGACGTACCAGGAGTATATTTACAAAAAGCAGACAAAAAAGGGGAAATGCTGTGGAATCTCCCATTTAAATTCCTATTTACTGACATGTAAATATTTGTAGTAAGCGGTTGGAGGTTGAAATAAAAAGGCATAACAGACAGTAGGTACACTGTATAAGTATTGCACTTCCATTTCTAATTTTGGCACGATTTCACTAGTCCAGTTGTACTATTTCAGTCCGTTGAATATAAGCTACACTGTACAGATTTTTGTGTGACGGGAGCTTTAAAAATTGTGGGTTCACTGGCCAACAATGTCAACCCTTCAAGGCATAGGGGGCGAACTGATAGCGCAAAATACTGTTTCAAACAAATGTTAATTGTCTGTTGATACCTGATGTTGATACCTTTAAAATAAAGCATTGGGTACTAGAAACATGGCGTGTTTAAGCCTGCTTGGTCGTCATTGGTTTATTTCAGTAAAGATATCTGCCCCTTATGCCTTTCAACGTGCTCTATTTTCGAAAGACCTTCAAGTTTGCCACCGTGGCCTTTTTTAAATGGTACCACAATAATGATTACCCTCTACCAGGGCCACAGATTGGTTTTTCACTTGATGCACGTTTTCACAGATATGTTTCTAGTTAAACGATGGGATTTTTCTGACCTGCATTTGTCAGAGAAAAGTGCACATGGAATTAGCGACCCTGTGAGATTGTTGGTTATGCTACACGCGGCCAAGAAAGTTCGGAAACGTGAAATTGTTTTTCAATAATAAAAAAAAAAAGGTAATGTGTTGGGAAAATCTTTTGTGTAAATAAAGATTAACAAATTGTGGATTCATTAACCAACAATATTTGGTTAAAATATTAATCGTACTAATAATGGTTATTTTATAACTATTTAAAATAACGATGTTTCCGAACTTTTAGGGCGAAAGTACCAGCAAGGTAACGAGGGGTGACTTGGTGTTACGTTGTCGTGCGAATAAAATACGCATAAATATGGAAACTTTTGATTGTCCAGAAAAGCTTAAATAGCTCAATTTTACATATTTTTTCATAAGACAAAAGTGAGTGTTTGGAAAGATCATTTGAAAGTTACAACAATTTACTAATATATATTCTCGACAGCGATTTTCATGATATGTTCCTTTTTCCATGTTTTATGCTATGGTAATAATAAATCAAATACATCATGTAAATATAGAAATAGTCACAAGTTATTGATCTTATTAGTCAGTGACGCATACATTTTGTGTGATAATTGATGAACTACTTTATATCTTTTTAATTACTGTCAATTTCTCAAATGTGTTCTGATTCTTTAAAGAAATGCTTGTAGATATTGATAACACCAAACCATAAACGAGTAGTTAAGTTGACCGTTTATTGGCGAAATGTAATACATTTGTTGTATATGCTACACCTTTGAGATATAACTTTGTCTTACATGCATGTCTTACAGATATTCAAAGTGATTAAGTAGTGATTTAAGTGTTCTTAAACTTGGTAGTTTTACATTGAAATACTTAGATATAATTAATACATAGTTGTTTGGCACTAAATAAAGACTTTCCAAATATACAAAATGTCTTAGTTATTTCTTTGACGGTTGCGTTTCTCAGAGGCAACCTGGGGTTGGGCTTCAAACTTGTCTTACGTTTCTAAAATGTCTTTAATGTATTACGATTTTTTATAACGTTTACTTAGGTTACTACAATAATTTCATTGACTCAGTGGCACCCCTCGGGTTTGGGTTCGTTTCTTGGTTCGGGTACTTGGAAATCATTGAATACTTTTCAAGGGGCTTTGCAGAAATTTCCCTTTGGTTACTATAAGAGGAAAGTCTTCTCGGGGAGGGTGGGTGGGAACAGTTAGAGGAGTAGGTAACGCGCTTGCCTCTGAGTCAAAGAGTCCCAAGTTCGAAACCTGGCGCTCCTGGGTCCCAGCAAGTTACCTTTTGCAAAAAAAATATTCAAATAATCAAGGTAAACTAATACAAGAGGTTCTATAGGTAAGACCTGTGAACTAGAGAACGAGAGCTAAAGGGAACAGAAGGTGAAAAATGAAAGGGAATTCAACATACAAATATATGTACAATATTTTTATTATTTATTGTTTCAACAAATTCTAAGTAATTTCAACGAAGTTTTATACAAAACAAAATACGTGAAGTTACGTTTTTTCTACGTTGATAGCAACCATTACAATAGCGTCAAATTTCTAAAAAATTCTATAAATTATGCTTTTACAAAAAATATACAAGAAGTCTATCAGGTAGTAGAATAACTAACACATATGAAGAATTTTATGCACTTTGGAAATTGCAGCTCAAACAACAAATTCTATCTATTTATATAAAAGAGAATTTCGACATAACTCTTACTAAAACAAAATTCATATAAAAAAAATTGACCAGGACTGGTAGATTAATTGAAAGGCCAATCATATCGTACTTTTCATATCAAATGTTCAAAGTTGACGTTATGGTTGATTACTAATTCCATTGAGGAACAAAGTGTCCAATTTCAGTGGTGTGAATGATATCGAAATTCCAAAATGCATATAATCTCACATAGGCGTCTCACGTCCTCTCGCACTCTCGCACACCTTGTTCGTATGCCGTCATGCTGATTCTCGCACAGAAAAAGGTAGACCAAAATAGTCATTTTAAGAATCGAGTGTTTTACGTTATTTTGTTTTCATTTCATTACATCCTTAATATTGGTAGGTTAATGGCACGAATTTGAGCGAAAACTTAAATTTGCACACATGCGAATCAGGAACGGCATAAAGACATGGTCAATTTCCAAGCTTATTCTAGTCATGACAATTTAAGAAAAATATACAAACAAAACTGAAAAGATTACGCAGAAAGAAAAACGGTGACTTAAAATTCATTAATCCATAAATGCTAACACCCTTACTCTGGTCTCCGGTGCTCAGTGATCAAGAAACACTTAGCAAAAATACCCCAACAAGACGCGCAGGACTGGCATCTAATCAGACCTTTTTCTCTCAATCACCCCTCAATCACAACCAAAGAAATATTAATCAATAATAGATATTTTCATGCATATGAACAAAGACGTTTTCCAGGGGAGCACTTACATTTCTGCTTTGCGATATTGGCAAAAAGTCGAACAACACACAAATGAGCTCACGCAATGCTGATAAATTTTGGTGGCCCCAAGAAGGGACAATTTTTATCACGTTGGTAACATGTATTCCCCTACTGCGATAACGAATGCGCAGTAATTTCGTGAAAATCCCTATTTCTCTCCTGGTTTCATTTTCTTAACATTGTTTTAGACCCCTTCATGCACAGTAAATGTGTATCTGTCACTGATCAGACACAATATCAAAACACCGAAACCAAAGTAAGTTCATTCTTAACATGCGTCACAAACGTATGTCCGCAATTTAAAAAGGATTGTTTCTTATACATGGGCAATTCTGCAATCACGTGGACAAATTTAATCATTTTCCTAACGCTGTAATGTCCAAAGCATTATAACTTGAAGTGTTTGTAAGTTATTTTTAATTAACAACTTGTTCATTTCTCAAACTTAACGGTCACTGTATGAAACCATTTGTGTCTCAAAAGTTTCAAGTAATGAAGTTGAGATATTTTTCTTATCGGAATCTCAGAATTCAATTCAATTTAATTCAAAATAAATATTTCAAATATCCTCAAATGCACAGCTAAGTGACTAATTGAAGATTTGCCCACAGACAATTTTTACCTTCAACTAGAAAATCAATAGTACTGGCGCAGTACTCTACCTAAAAATCGCATAATAATAATAATCATAATAATAATAATAATAATAATAATAATAATAATAATAATATTTGATAACTATCATTTTTGTTTTCATCCATCATTTCAGCAAAATACTTTTTGAGTTAAAATTATTTTGTTAAAGGTGAACTCCAAAAAGTGCCGTATTTTTGTTTGAGAATTGATGGGTACTTCCTTCCGACACAATAATAAATATACATAATAAATAAAATACCTTGAAACGATATGAGCGGATAAAATACTGTACTATGATTTAGAAACAAATCTATATTATATAACCAGCGACATGCAGGGTCGACGCCATTCATTTCTTTCTTTTTCTCTGATCAGAAGTTTCGTTAAAAATTCTTGCTGCGTACAACAATTATTTTATACAAATTTTATGCAGAATATTACTATCCAAGGCAAAGATTACATTTCATATCAAATGTCAACTCTGCAAATAAACTACAAGACAAACTTCAACAAGCGAGACAATCTTGGCATGGGCGCAGGCGATGTCCAACATGAATCTGATGTCTGTGATCGGCGACGCATCCAATCACCCGGTAAACAGCGGTTGGGAGTCACTGAAATAAACGAAGAAAATCACATTCACGACACAGTTTGATGAAGCAGTATGTGTATATCTTTACAGCATGCTATTTTGGAACACAAGGGATTATGTTAACAAAACATTATTGTGCCATTCCTGTTCTATTCTACCCTGTGCGCACTGTTTAATGACAACATACTTCTTTGCATTCATATGTAAGATGTCATATGAAAGGACCAGGCGTCCGGATAACAGAAATATTCACGGAAATGAGAGCCAGTGAATGAAAACATTTGGCAGATGGGCCCAATTAGTTTAAAATTGACAGTATCTAAAAAAAGACATTATCTAGGCACATTTTCACTGACCAAGCCACGTTTTTCAGGCGGAGGGGGCGAGAATACGAGGATACATTAGCTGGATTTCGTCTAGTTTCGTGCCATTTACAATTTTTCCGCTTTTCATTAGTTCTTGTTCTTGTTTTAATTTGTTAATTTGGAAGGGAGAAGGGATACCTCTTAAATTAAGGGAAGGACACTGTACCCCCGCCCACCCTCCCACCCCTCACCTCCCCAACCTGGTCCCATCGTTTCCAGGAATGCAATGACACAATAGTTCAACATCTTGTTACTGAACGTGCATTTGTCTGTTTGAAGTTTACTTTCATATACAAGATTTTTTGATACTTTAAAAACAGGTCAATGGCCATGCCAAAAAACAATTAGGAGAATGTAGATACCTACCCAGTCGTCTTACTTGTTGACTTGTTCCTTTGGACAGCTGCAATAAGCCTCTCACTTCCTTATTGGCAAGTGCCTTCCTTCTCTGAAATTACAGAAAATAAATCATTCAAAATTTGAGCTGATTTTGCAAATTCTAATGGAGAGTGTATTGGACATAAGTGTAATGTTCCCACAGTCATAAGGACTAAAATGTCCCTGTGCGAAACGCATCATTTGGGCAAACGTCGTCTACACAAAATACACAGCGTTATCTTATATTACCTATACAATACCACGGCAGCTTCCTGTCATTTTCTGTGCTAAATTTTTGGCCTACATGTGGAAATTGCAGCAACGTACCAAGAACCTCTGTCTTCTCCATCTTCTACTGACCTTGGTCCTACCTGAACACCTCTCACCGAAATGCTCACTTGTATTACATAATAATGTACAGGACACCCGCTTTTTGAACGCAAGTTTCGATTTAAACTTGTTTTTGTTTTTTGATATGGCGCAATGGGTCCTAATCCCAGGATGGTGATTTAGGCTTTCTATCATCATACATCTACATCTGATATCAAATTATTTGGCTATGTTTCCTCCCCCCCCCCCACCCCCCAGAAAAAAAAAATCACCGGTGCTGGGTTGTGTTAGAGAAGACAAGATGCGTTTTTTGTTTACTGATTCAGACTAGGTGTAAATATTCTCACCTCCCTCGTGAGGATACAGCCCAGCTGCCGTATGAGAGGGCACCACCGAGGGGGAGGGGTGATCACAATTCACGGGAAATAAAATCATTAGTTCACAAATCACAGTAAATAAAACTATACTCACTGAAATTGCGCGTCAAAAATCAAGAATCACGAATCACCGCCCATAAATATGACTTTGTTTCACGAATAACGGAAAATAAAAAAGCCGCATTCACGAGTCACAGGAATGGGGTGCTTCACGCTAAATAAAATGAACGTTTCACGCATCTTGGGAGGTAAAAAGTGGCTTTCAAGGGCAAGCAAAATACCTTGTATGGGGCTGTGATAACCAGAGTACGAACAACACTTCCAAATAGTGTTTTTATATCTTTGCGAACGAAAATTCAGCTACAATACCTACTCTTAGAATATTACTTTTGCAAAGTTGAAGATGTTACCCCCTACCCTCCCAAGCATCAAATTAAAATACCAGTCCATACGCGTGAAAAACCGATGTTCTCCGTCTCTACCAGTATTTCAGAGTAAGGACGCATGTTGTGAAAGGTAAATTTCCAATTTTATGTCATCAAATTACATGTTTTTACGGATATTAGTATACGTTTAGGACCCAAATATCTCCGTATGTTTATTTTTCACACAGCACAAGGCTGAATAAAGAATAAAGTAACATTGAAGACTTCAAGGTCGAGGGTAAATTAATGCTTTCTATAATAAATATCAAGGCGAAGTTTTTATTTAGTCATTAAAATTTAGTTACTGAGGGTAAAACATGATAAATGTGTCTTCCCCATGGCCCTCAAATAATGGTAATTGATGTTTAATTACAAGAAATAATCTTTATTAAATTACAAGTAAATAAGGTGAGCTTGTCAGAACATTTATCTATGACGACAACTGGTGTTTCAGTGCGTGCGGCTGTGATCTATACTGTTATTTTATCAGATACCATGTACTCTCTGGGTTGTGATTTCTATTAAAGATGTTCCATTTTCAAAACAGACTCTAGGCTCATTATTCTGATGGCACGTGCATTTATCGGTGCATTTATGGGTTTATAGTGTCGGGTGTCGTTATTTGTCAAGAGGTATCTGTCAAGACGTATCTACAGTGTATCAGAACGGGTAGGAATTGAGACTGGATAGAGCTGGATGGCAAAATGTACTATTTAAATAAAAGTAACAAAAGTGTTGTGATAGACAGGTGCCAATCAAACTCATACGGTTTAATTCAACTTTGACGGAAGCTGTCAAAAGCACACGACTTTGATAAACGTCAATCACAATAATTACGCAGTTGATAACTACAGTTGTCGAGCATGTAAAGTTCCAGCTTCCTTCACTATTTGATCGACAACGTGCAAATCAAATCATTCAGTTTTGACGATCCCGTCAGGTAATAACAGCTTGATAGACAGATTATATAAACAAACGTCAATCAAATTGTGATACGGACAAGCAGACGCAGAGACAAAAAATTGCCTGTCTGAGGATTTGGTTGTCTTAATCCATCCCTTTAGGTCAAATTATGAAAATTCCCATTTCTAAAGCTCAGTTTTTACCCATTATTTTATCTTATTTGTTATTTTTTCCGTACCATGTTGTTTGCTGTGCGTGGAAAGTTGCGTGCGTACCTTACATCGCTCGACCGTTCAGCATTGTCTCTCCTACAAAGATGCCTAGGTTTTTTCAGTCTTATCACTGGTGCATACATTTTAATTATCGGCATATATAAGGAATGGCAGTAAATAAAATATACTTTATAAAGTTTCAAATCTTTTCAAACTTAGTAAGTACTGCTTAAATTAATTATTGAAAATTATTTTTCATAACTTTTATCTACATGAATTTATTCTTTTTCCTGTCACAAGAGACTCAAGAATACATCTGTAACGGTCTAGTTTGTTCCTGTTATTTGGAAGCATTTCCTCTCAGGAAATATAATCGTTCTTCCTCTTTTTCGAAAATCTTTAAAAAAATTAAAAGAAGTTTCACTACGCATTCATCCAGGAATTTCTTCAAGTAATGTTGTTTTGAAGATGACACCTAGATCCATCCCCCCATATTTTCTTCCCTATTGTTTTTTTCTACACTGAACGGGGGTGGGGGGGGGGGGGGTTAGCGGCGTCTGATCTACCAGTGAATTCAGGATCATTCGGTGCCCGGTCTGGTAGTTGGGTAGGCCTAGTATAGTATATGTTAGATTCACGACATTAACTCTTAAACTAAAATAGCTTTCCAACACTATCCATGAATTATTACTCGAATAACATCTTTATTCCCCCAGTCCAGGCTTCACTAACACAATTGGGTGGTTTTTGCGGAGGCCGTCACATTCATGGTTGAGACAGCGTCATAAACCAGACACCGCAGCCTGTGGCACATTTTTCTTATGAACAAAGATTGTTCACTTAAAATATTCTTCACAGTGGCAGATAGATTAGCTAAAAAAGGGGAATGAAAAAGAGTTAAAGGCCAAAACGAGTAAAGTAGATTTCAGCCATTCCACGAAAAGGGGTACAATTCCAAAACAAGAAATGCAGCGATATGAACTTTGCAAAACTGGAAAACTTTTTATATTATTTTGATGAAGAGGTATTCAGGGAGTAGTAGAACAATTTTAACCCACACCATTACTGTATTTAAAGAAATATGCACGTGTAAACATGGTACAGTATTTTTTTCGTTACGGAGGTTAGGTAACATCTAAATTAGGTTATATTTCAATCATGCCAAAGGTCACAGGCTCCATATTTGATTCAATTATTAAGATTTTGTATGTATTCAAAATATTATTGCCCATTTAAGATTTATCTTCAATTATAGAAAATGCGGTGCAAACATATTGGTAATAAGTGGCTCGTTTTCTATAAATACAAAGGCTGAGATATTCCAATTTAAATATTTTATCAATCGTTGGGGACAGACTTGCTTTTTTTATCATAGGCCTACTATTTGTTTATGAACAAAGGGCTATCAATCTATTATGATATGAGCATTGATCAATGAGCACACACATATCCAGTGTTCAAATGAAAAATGAGTAATTTCGTAACGGAGGTTAGGTCATTCTACATAGGTCAGCGATGTTTTGATATTTTTAGCTTAAGGTAGACTTTAGAAGTTGATTTTTGAATTTATAGTATTACAGATACGACAAATTTACATAATAACATAGAAAAATTGATAAAACATGTTTATTCAAACCATTAAATGGCAAATGGTTACAACGGGTTGTTTTGCTTACTTTCAAGGACTACATAAATACATTTACCACTAGTGGATACATTTCACCGCTAATATGTTGATCTATGTATCTGTAGAATTCACATTCCATATTTTACCAGAATAAGAGTTTAATTTATAATCTTAGTAACAGAGGTAAGTTAAAACTCTAGTCTAAATTATGTCATACATTTAAACCGTTCAAAATCTTTCACAAGAAAAGCTTCGCGGTCATTAGATTTTTTTTCTTTCTCTGTAGTGTTTTTGTCGCTCTGTATTTGTAAGTGGCATATTGGTGTCTGTATAACAAAACATTAAATCTACATGCACATGATCGCAGTTATAGGCAATAAAAAACAACAAAATACCCGAGAAAGTTGATGCATACAATCAAGTAGGCCGACAATAGACACGTGTTTGCCAATAACTGTCCATTTAAAGTTACTGGAAGCATCTAGAAGATGATAAAAACTATTATGTGCTACTGAAATAGTAAAATAGGACCTAATAATCCCGCAGTTCTACCTGATAAATGCCATATGTCTCCCGCCATACGTCTCCCGCGAAAATAATGTCTGCTACATGCACGTTAGTACTGATGTCAGCTAGTACCATTTTTCTTGCCAAGACAGTCCTGAAAACTACTCATTTCGCTTAAAATTAGAATGATAAGTTCAAAAAGGCATCGTCAAGTGACAAACGGAAATCAATTCGATAAAACAAATCACGATTTACCCTCGATTTTATAGCAAACTGGAGTAAAAACTTAAATCATTAGCCTTTCTTGATAGAATTATCAGCTATATATGTATATTTTATATCTATATTAATGCGGGGTAATGTCTTTAACAGCAAGCAGTATGAATGCATACTACATCAGAACATAGAAGTAGAACTACTTATATGATCAGAATTAACTCACAAAACCACAGAAATAACGTTTTAAAGTATTAACAGTCATTTTTTTTTCGTAACGGAGGTTAGCATAACGGACGTAAGGTGACACGCATTCTTTTTCAGTTTTTATCCTCGGGATAACTTTGCATAACTATTGAATGAATTTTTTAAGAAGAAGTTGGTCCTTGCTTAACAAAAATGATATTTTTAACTTCCTAAAGGAACATTTTCTTCAAATTTGGTCCGTTACTGAGGTTAGGCTCTTAAATGCGACACCCCGACTTTTGTGAGTTAACATTCTCTATGATGGAACGCATCATTCAGAATTAACAAATAGCACTGTTTTATTAAACTTCATGTATTATGAGTTTGAAAAATGCACAGGAAGGCCATTTAAGAGCATTTTCTTTTATTCTTACATTGACTTAAAAAAGCGTTACGGAGGTTAGGGGTTACTGAGCGACATTGATTAAACTATGACAGTGACGTAACTAACCAACAAATTCGACAGAGAACACCATGTATGATAAAAAGAAACATGAATTCAAATTAGTTGAGGACTAAAAACACTAAAACATGGGAAAATATAAACTTTTTCTTGTGGCAAATAAGCTATAGTACCGAAGCGACACGTCGAAATCGTGCTTTTTGCGGCATATAGACCCCTGGGGTTCCCGTCAAAGCAAGTGGTACTATATTAATTGTTGTATTTAGAACACATCGGGTCCTGCTAAAAAAGGGTAAAAAAAAGCAAAATTGCAGATGCTTT